AAAGTGAGAAGAGCGGCAGCCTATAGCAAGCTGCTTCTCAGCTGGAGAGGGCACAGCCTCCATCCTAATACCCTCCCTGGCCAGCCCAGAAACAGACCCAGGGGTCCCACCTTACACACCAACCCCCAGCCTCTTTCCTCTCAGTGAACGTTCCAAGCCCTTTTCTAGGCCACAGGAAGGCCCTGCTGGTGTGGACTGTGTTGCCTTTGTCCCACCCATGCAGGCCCTGGCCTGCAAAAGGGGCTTTTTGAAACCCCCACCCCTCACCCTGGGCAGGAATCAGGGCCTCAGTGTGTTCCAATAGCAGCCCCCAGGCAACCACCTGCCTCATTTGTTCACATATTTCCTGACTACCATCCCAACTAGAAGACCTGTTGCCTGGGACCCAGAGACCCCTAACCCAATACCCTCTTCGTGTCTGGGGCCATCCCCTGCTAGCCAGTGATAGAGGCCTAAGCCTAAGCTGAGCTGAGGAGGACCTCTGCATGCGGCCAGGGGCCAGGGGTAGGGTCAAGAGCCAGACCTTTCTGTGGCCTTCCCAGAAGCAGCGCAAGCCCCGGTGTGGACCTGGACGGAAGCAACCCTGGAGAGAGGGAGTGCCTGTCTTATGTGAGGAGTTACCCCAAGCACCGTTCACTACCAGACTCTCTGGGCATGTCAGGAAGCTGTGAGAATCCCGGCTCCAGCTGGCCTCAGCAGAACACACCCTGCTTTGGACTGAATGTTTGTGCCCCTCAAAATCCCCATGTTGAAACCTACCTCTAATGGAGATGCTGTTCGAAGTGGGGCCACTGGGAGGCCACTGGGGTTAGATGAGGCCTGAGGGTAGGGCTCTCAGGAGGGGATCAGAGCTCTTACAGAGAGACTCCATGCAGTGTACGTGTTTGTGTGACTGCTCCTTTTCTCCCCCTCCCTGGCCCTCTCCTCTCTCTCCTGCTTTGTGCCCCCCACCCCAGTAAACTAGGAGTAGGCCCTCACCAGACACCAAATCTGTCTGCACCCTGATCTCAGAGTTCTGGTAAAACTATAAGAGGCAAATGCCTGCTGTTGAAGGCACTTTGTGATAGCTAAGACAGTCCCCACACCCGAGAGCATGCAGAAGGTAGAGCAGGGCAGTGGCTGGCACATGCACCTGCTCATTAAGGAGACACTCGAAGGGAGAGCATGGGAACAGGGGCATGCAGCGGTAATACCTCCTATCCTCAGTGGAATCCTCTTTAATGAGACATCACTTTGGAGAAGCGTTTCAGAGTCTTTCAAAATCTTGGTCTAAACCTCATCAAACTGCACAGAGATCACTTAAGATTTACCACATGGGCACAAAATAAAGTGAAATAAAAAAGGCAGCCCAGCAAGCGGCAGCTCTATGACAGGACCATTTGTAGTCAGGATGGAAAAGCCTCCCAACTCATCTGCTTAAGCATAGTGGCTTCTGTTTATTTCGCACTTTCATGTCAAATGAACTTGAAGAGAGAGAAAAAGTGACAGGCAGTTTAGGGATATAAGTCACATTTCAGCTTCAGTTCAGATTAATGAACTTGCTAAAGCCACAAGGGCATAGGCAAATCCACAAATCTCAGAGCAACAAAAAAATGAGCTCCTTGCTGCTTGATGTGAACCTCAGTCCTGGGGTGGCTACCACTGACCTTCTGTCCCTGTATCCGGAAACCTGGGGAGTCTGAAATGTTCCAGAAGGCAAACAACATAGCCACCTTAGGACCTCTCCCCAGAACAGAATCAGTGCTAACAGCCCAGGATCCCAGGGACCTCGCAACTCCCCAGCAAGCAGTGAGGGGCTGCAAAGAGGCCCTGAGGGCTCTGGACAGCTAGCCAAGAGCCAGGCCAACCCCACCCCTCACTGTGCCACAAGAGGTGGAACAAGAAGGAAGGGGTGGAAAAAAGTGGCCCCAAGACAAGGAGGGCTGCCACAAGCAGCAGGAGTGGAGCTCTGCCCATCCCCCTGATCTCACCCAAACTGTGCCACCATTTCTTCACCCTCCTCAGTCCTCAAAACCCAGGAGCCTCAGTTGTAGGCACTGTCCTGGGGTCCCCCACCAGACTCAAGCCTGGTGACAAGGAGGGCAGGAACATGACAAGGTCACCTGGCTGTTAGGTGAGGCTGCGCAGGCCTCTGCCAGGCTCTGCTCAGGGTGTGGCCGGCAGGCCGCTCTCTAGGCTGTAGCCTCACGTCCTGTGAGGTCCTACCTGGACCCCCAGCCTTTCTGCCACTCAGCTATCCATGACCTTTGCATTCGTCACCTGCTGTCTCCTCTCTGCCACCTCAGAATGAACAGATTCCATTTCAAGGGCAGATTAGGAAACTGAGGCTCCAAGCAGGAAAAGGCTTGCTCAGAGTTCCTCAGCCTGCCAGGGCTTCCGTGGTTGGTAGTCCTTCTCTGCAGAGACCAATCACCGACATCAGTGAGTATCTGCAGAGGGTAGGCAAGGGCTACCCTATGCCTGTTCTGGGCCATCCTGCCTTACCTTTCACATATGTCCACCAGACTCTGTCCACCAAGACTTTCAGAATGGCTGGGGCCTGCCCACTGGCCCCATTTCAGGGTGGGAGACAGAGCTGGGCACCCAAGGAGAGTCCTGGTAGGCAGTCTGGCTTTTTCATCACTGTGGCAGCCCTCCCTTCGTCTGCAATGGTCCAGTCACTGGCCCAACCCCTCCCATGGCCCAGGGGGAGCTCAGGAGCCACAGTGGATTAGCTACAGCAAGGCAAGCGTGCCAACCATAGGTTGTAGCCCCTGGCTCTGATGGGGCTAGGGAGGCTCTGAAGACAAGAGGGAGGCAGGAACCAGTTCAGGCACTGGTCCCAAAGATGGGATCTTTCTGCTGCCTCAACAAGCCAGGCCCAGGTATGTGCAGCCAACGGCAGGCCAGGCAGCTGGCTGGCAGCCACTCTGCTGAGCAGACAGCACACCAAGGTGCAGGTGACCTTGGGCAAGGAAAGCCCAGCCCATTGGCAATCACTCTTCCCAGGGCCTCCTGAGAGTCGCACCTCTAAGCTTCACTCCCCCACCACCTCCCAGGCCCATGGTTCATGCTCCCAGGGTCCCACTTGCCAGGACCAGGGTGAGGTGGTCAGGAAAGAACGCAAGGGCCCCTCCCACACACCCTCAGTGACCGTGTCCACAGTGCCTTCATATGCAGGATGGCACTGAGGCCTGGAGCCCACAGCTACCAACAGAGCCAGACCCCTGACTGACTTTGGCTACCTATGGCTATGGGCCCTGTGCCATCTAAGGGCAATGCCCTCCCTTCTGCCACTCACACTCACAGCTGAACCACGCCAGGCACCACTTTTGTGGAACAAGAAGTTTAGAGAACAGCCTGGCTGACCTAGCTGGTCTCTGCCTCAGGGGTTCCATGAAGTCACGTGACATGCCAGTTGACAGTGCACAGTGGCCTCAGCCTTGGTCCTCAGGACTGCAATGGCCACCTCCCTCCTGTAGGACTCCCTCAGCCCACTGGGGCCTAGGCACAAGTTTCTGCCTGGTGACCCCTTTGAGACCTTCCTGGGGAGCACAACAGGACTCAAACATGGGAGGGAGTTCCTTGGCCCTCAGAGGCTGGAGGGAGTGGCCAGGTGTGTCTCTCAGGAAGAGCATCTTGGTCCCCTAACCATGCCCCTGGGAGAGGAAGGACTTAGGCTGAATCCGAATGCAGGAGGGGAGGCTCCTGGAGCTGAGAACCAATAAATCTGAACCTCATCACGATGATCTGGGGCTCTTATTAAGTAAATTAATTTAAGTTAATTTAGCTCGATCATGACTCCCGATCACAGTGATTTAGTGAGGGGGAAATTGCATTAGGAAAGGCCATGCTCACCAGATAGAGGAACGGAAGAAAATTAGATCCACTTAGCAATGTGAATTAATATGGAAATAGCAGGTGTAAATTTAACCTTATCGAGAGAGTAAAAATTATCTTCATAAATTTGTAGAAATAGCCCCCAAGATGCTTATAAATCTATTTAAAACAAAAATATTACAAAAAGTGCAGTAAAATTAATTTAAAATATATTTCCAGCTATTGCCTCCAGAAAAGTCAGCAGCAGGGCCAAGCTTGGTGTGGACAGCAGAAAGGGAGGACACCAGGGGGCCTCGGACCCGCCACAGGCTGCAGAGCCAGGCAGACTATCCACAAAGCCTGGTGCACCCTTGGGTTAGCCTCAAGCCTAGGATATTTGGGCAGCAGAAGGGGCAATGGCCAGGTAGTGCCACAGAAAGGGTGGCAGACCCCTGGAGGCATCATTCAGCTGATTTGGCCTGCCCCACAGTCTCTGACTTGTGCAGTTCCCCCAGGGCCAGGTTCTGCCACTCCTTGCTTCCCACCCGCCTACTGGGTGGGATGTTCTCACCTCAGCAAAGAAAGGGGCCACTCCTGGGAGCCAGAGACTGGGCCAGCCTGATTGTGGGTAGCAGGGCCTCCCCAGAGTCTGCTCTTCTAATGGGGCTGCCCCTCCCTCTCAGACACAGCAGCTAGAGCAAGGTCAGTGCACTCTCAGGACAAGCATGCATGAGGTAGCCTAGGCAGAGCAAAAAGAAGCCCCTCCTCACCACTCTTGACAGTCAGCATATCGGCGGCTTCAGACAGGCTTCTCAGGGCCTGGCCTCTCTCATCGAAAGTTTCTCCCTAAGAGACTCCTGGGCAGCCCATTGCAGGGGTTCCAGCTGGCTTGGTGGTAGCTGCTTCTGCAGCGCAGGAAGCTCCAGTAGCTAATGGGCTTACTAACAATGATGGAAAGCATAAGCAAGCATGTGTGTCTTTGTGTGCATATGGTACAGGCAGGCTGGCCATGTATGTGGCACACAAATTGATAAACAAAAAAGTTAGGCTGTTTGCCAGCCAGTAAGCTGGACACCATGCAGCTCCCTGGGCGAGTGTGGTTCCCACAGGCCTGAGGCCCTGCAGCTCTTGATGCCAGGCAGGTCTTGATGCCAGACAGCCCAGTGCCCAGGCCTACAGAAGTCTAGATGGGGTCCTCCTACCTGGACAGTGAGAGCCGCCGGGCCCTCCAAGAGGGCAGAGACAGAGGGAAGGAAGGGACACTAAGTGGAGAAGCCGGAGTCTTCTTGACGATGCGGTAGCGGGTCTTGATCACCTTGCTGGTTGGTGGAGTCCGCAGGTGCATGCTAGATGCTGCAGAGAAAACCCAGGGCATAGGTGTGCGTCAGTGGAAGTTGGCAGGGGCAGGGCTAGAGAGGCCACTTGGGCCTGAAGCTGACCTTGAAGCTGGCCTCACCCACACCTTCTCTGGAGTTAGAGACCTCTCCATCACACCCTGGCTACAGCCCATATCCCCAGAGAGCCTGGCAGCCAAGGCTTCAGTAGCTGACCTCCAGGAGAGGTCACATCCTCAGATCCACCTTAGAGGCTGGGTGGGGATGCTGAGTGACTGCTCTCACAGAGAGCAGAAGACCAGTGAGTCAGGCCCCAGCCAACTGGGAGATGTCACAGGTGAGTCACCCCAGAGACTCTCCCAGTCTCCAATCCCCGAGTTGGTCCAGGAGGCTGGGGCAGGTGGAGCTCCTGTGTTAGTTCTGTGCCACCATACATGAGACTGGCACAGGAGAGTTCACCTCTTCTCTGGCAGCTCCCCACTGCTGTGCCTAGACAGATTTATGTACTTAATCACTGTTTTCATAACATTCTGCGGGTGATATTCACAATGGCTTTTTCTTGCTGAATGTTTCTTGCAATTAGCAGGGATCTGTTTTGCCTGAGTTCCCTTCCACTTGATAGCCAGCAATTTCTCCATAGCTTCGAGGAACATGCCTAATTGCCCGACTTTCATAATGTACGGCTCTAACTGCCCAGATAATTAAAGCTAACACAGCCACCACTCATGGATGCTCCCCTCTGGCCCTAAGCAGGAGCCCCAGCCCAATCTGCCCAGGTGGGCTGGCTCTCTTCTAGTTTCCTCCTGCCCCGGGGACCCAACCCCCTTGACCCCCTTCTCTGAGCACAGGAGCAGCAACTGTGACAGTTCCTGAAAGTCATCACCTGGAGCCCAGTACCAGACCTCATGTAGCCCAGCCTTCTGAGGCAGCACCTCAGCCACCCAGGCCCCCATGCTCACACACAGCCAGAAGCATTGCTGCCCCTCTGCTGCCGGATGCAGGATGTTGGCAAAACCCCTCCCTCAGGTGTCTGGGCCACAGCCTTACCGGAGCCTCCATCAGCCCACACATTGGATGCATCAGGGGCATACAAGTTCAAAAACCTTCTGAGGTCCCCCAGAGACCACCCTGAAGGGTCTGCCCAATCTAGAGACCCTTGAGGGGAGGGAGTGCAGGTTGCATATGCCCAGCCTAGGTCAGGGTAGGTGGTGGGGCTGAATGGCCCTGAGGAATACCTCTGATCCTAAGGACTGGAGGCAGATGCCCACCAGCAACATCTGGATAAGGCTCCCAAAATCCGGCATCACACCCCAGCAACTGGTCCTTCTGTCTCTCCCCGCCCCCATTTTTGATGGTACTGAGGTTTGAACTCGGGGTCTTGCATTCCACCACTTGAGCTATGCCTCCAGCTCTTTTTGCTTTAGTTATTTCTCCAATATGGTCTCATGTTTTTGCCCCAGGCCAACCTCAAAACATGAGCCTCCTGATCTCCCCCTCATGAGTAGTTGGAATTACAGGCATGAGCCACTATGTCTGGCCCTCTCTCTCTTTTCAGTCTCTGTCTCTTTCTCCTACTTTTCTGAATCTCCAAGGATAGTAGCTCAGGGAGTGCCAGGGAGAAAGCAGGAGCTCAGGAACCAAAGCGTGAGGTTATATTACTTGTAATCCCCTGGTTCTTGCTGAGTGACCAAAGTAAGTGGATCTTTAGCTCTGAGCACCACCCCTATCCTCCATACACAGGGGACACAGGGGAGAGTCTGGTATACAGTGGGCGTCAATAAATAAACGTTGAATTGAATTTTCAAGGTCTTACAAGCAAGGAGAGACCAACGAAAATCGATTGTAACTTGTTCCAACTAAGAGCTCAAGAACATGAGATTCCTTAAGTTATCAATAACCCTGAGATGACCTCATTGCCTGCAAGCCCAGCCCCAGACTCCGTGCTTCATCCTGAGAGGAGAGTCTGTCTACCTGGACCCATTCCTGTCCAACGGGGACAGCTAGGTGGCAGAGGCCAGTGCTGCATCTGGAGAGGGATATGCCCACCAAAACACAGCTCAGAGCTCCACCTGCCTGTTCCCCAACCCTAGGGTTCCCAGGTATGCAGAGAAGAATAGGGCCTCGCACTCACTGGCCTGCAGCTACTTCTGATCACATCCTGCTAACAGGCCTCAGAGGGCTGCTCATAAATGCCACTGAGATGCAGATCCCAGAGTCATGTGCACCCCTTGGGGCCACATGGCTCAGCTATGTAGCTGGGCTCTGTTCCTATCCACTGATACATAACATCCCTTTGCCTAAAATCACCTTCTCCTGAGCTCAGTGTTGAAGCTTTCCCTCCTTCCTTCCCTAGTCCAACAGATGTCACCTCCTTCAGGGAGCCCCTCTCCCCATTCCTATTGCCCACAGGACTAGACTCTGAATTCTAGAAAGCTACTCTCCAGGTGAGGCACTCTCAGAGCAGGAAACACTTGGGCAGCAGCACCCCAGGCTGAGGCCTCTGGCTGCCCTCATTCCTGCCCGCTAATGAGCTCAGAATGAAGACATTCCTGGGCCTACCATCAGATCACATTTCTTCACTACTTCATTTTACTTAGTAGTCCCCAATTATCACCCAAGAAAATACAAGGTAGCAAAGCAAACTCCTTTTGGAAGGCAGCCTCTTGTCTGCCAGTGGGCAGGTACTTTCTGCACACTTTCATACTCCTGTGGCCCCCAGAGGCAGGCCTCCCATCAGAGACGAACACTGAAAGGTGCTCACACCTCCCCCACCCCCACCCCACCAGGGCCCCAGACTACTCACAGTGTCTGTCAGATGAGTAGCTCAGACGCACTCATGGCCTGGAGGGCACAGAGCAAACAGTTTGACAGATGGGCTGTGGGAACGGATGGAGTCACGGCCCAGTGCAGGCAGGCACAAGAGCTCCTAAGTCTGGGCTTAGCACACAGGGACCCAGAAAATCAGATTACAGGGAGTCTGGGCCCCTCCCCAGTGGCAGGCAGCACAGACTTGGGGCTATAGGACAGGCACACTTACAGACAGTCAGGAACAGCCTGGCCCTCCTCCCTGAGGACACAGGCAGGGGCAGCCCACCCCTCCTTGCTGGCTGAGGAGTTTTGTGTAGATAATCATGTTGTTTAGATAGGATGTTGGTTTAATTCCCTTCATTACAGACTCCCAGGGTTGTAATTTTTTTCTCCACACGATGTATCTCCCGTGGCACGCTTCACTCAAATCAAGCCCCTTGCGCTTTTATTGCCAACACTGCCTGCGCTGTGTTATCAGGCCCACACATGCAGCCCTCTCCGCCCGCCGTCCAGAGGTCACTTCTAATGACTAATCGATCTCATTAGCTTTCCTAATTAAAAACTTTACTACCGCAATGGAAGACAAACTACAAAAAAAATGCTGGCATCATATTTGAATGGGATATGAGCCCCATCTATCAGCAGAGCTCCAGTTCCTGCCTGCGGCACTGTGCCCTGCAGCTGGGGCCACTGGCCTCTGGCCTCTCCCCCACTCCCAGGCAGACTGGGAGCCAGCCAGAAGCAGACCAAGGGTACCGCAAGAGTGTAGCTGTGCACCAATCATTCACCCCCAAGGGTGTCATTGGGAGGGAAGCAGCACCAAGTGGCGGGTTGGGAAGTCCAGGAGCTCCTACCCCAGCACCATTCCCCTCAGTCTGCAGAGCCCACTGACCCAGCCTCCCTCCTTGGGCAAGTGGAGCTCCACCACAGATGGTGAACCACAGACGGAAGGTCATGCTCCCACTCTGTTTTAGTGCAGGCAGGAGTTGAGAGGCAGTTCAGATTTTTATGGAACTTCAAAGGGAAATAACTGGGAAGAAAATGAGTTGCTAATTTCACAACTGGTTAATGAATAAGTTGAAAATGGAACTACTACTTTGTGCAAAGAACTGCCCAAGGCCACCCACCCAGAAAGAAGGCAGTTTCCTCCCTGGCTAGCCCAGGAGCCAAGGTGAGTGTCCTGCCCATAGAAGCAGCACCAGCTCCATCAGCAAAAGATGGAGGATACTAAGGCAGGGCCTCACTGTCCCCACAGGGGACCCAGCAGAAGATGGAGGATACTAAGGCAGGGCCTCACTGTCCCCACAGGGGACTCAGAAGGCTCTGACAACGCCCCAGGCAGACATCTAGGGCTCCCCACCCACTATACCCTGGGCCTTGTTGACAAGTGGTCTAGAGACACGAGCACCTGGACCCCAGAGACAAGTAGATGGGGCAACAGACAAAAGCAGCTGAGGTAAATGGCACAGCAGAGCTGTAGCCTAAGAAAACAACCTGTTCTAGAAGCCCCTTAATCTCAGCTGGAGGAGGAGGCCAGAGATTGGCACCTCAACATGGCATGTGCCAGGGTTAGCCACATGAGGCACCCCCGCCAGTGGGACATTGGGCCCATGATGGAGAATATGATCTATGGGATGGGACCCTGAAAATCATGCCAAGCTCTTACAGCAAAGATACTGGGGAGCACATGGAGCAGGAGCCAGGCTACAGGAAAGACATGGGTACACCTAGACTCCATGTGCAAGTAGGGTGGGCAGAGGCAGAGGGCAGTCTGGTGCTAGCCTCTTGAAGTCACAGCAAGGCTGCCCAGGTGGCAGCCCTCCCAGGTTAAGGGCAGGGGACCAGGCCACAGGGATGGACGTAGGGTTGAAGGCATTCTGCCCAGCCAGGCTCTCCATCCCTAATTCAGTATGATTCAACTTTCTTCATATATTGCCTAATCTGCTTTTTATCAACAGCTACCCTGACACTTCTTCAATATCTCCAAACCGTCTATACCCTTCACTGGCTGAAGACAGCTCTAAAAAGCTGTCGTGGCTCAGCCCTTTCAAAGCCACATTGATTTCTGCTCTCCTGTTCCATAAACTATCCTCCCTTCCCGTTTGGCTCACGCTCCAGCTGGCCTGTCTGCCACTGACAGTGCCCTCTCCCATGGCCCCCACGGCCCCCACCTGGCAAGGGCTCCTGGGGTCATCCTAACTCAGGCTCCAG